CGTAATTGAAATTCCCCGTTGCAGAGCACCGTGGTCGAAATTCGGCGAGATTCAGATCGAACCGAAGACGTCGACTTCTGTCGGAATCTCGCAGAACAGAGCGAGCTCAGGGCCAATAAAGAATCAAATCAAATCGTCGAATTAATCAAAACGGCGTAATTGCTTGGGTTTGGGTTCCCGTCGTTCAGTCTCCAGCACTTCCCCCGCAGGCCGACTGGAGCAACGAGCACCGCCTTCTCTCCTCCACTTTTCATTGACACAAGCAGCACACACGTAGGAAGAAGCAGAAGACCTCGGCTCAGCCAGCAAGACAACAGTCAAGCGTAGTCTCAGCGCCTATAACTCCATCTTCTTTCTCAACCACTACACGTACGCGCGCCACTCTTCTATTCGATCTCTCGTTCTCTTTCCATCGCTTTCATCTCTGCGCAATTCTATCTTCGGCTTGCCGCAGCGATCTCGCCCGCACACAGTGATTAACGATCGCGCGCTGCGCCGGCTCATCTTCACAACAGGTCTATCCACCAGAGGGGTGCATAGCAGCGAAACAAATCAACCGCACACAACACCAACGACCGACGATCACAGAAGATGAGGCGTCACGAACAATTCAGCGATGCACAGAAGGTGTACCAGATGTGTACGCCCCACCCGAAGCCGCTGCTTCAGGGTAGGCGCAGCCTCGTGAGGCACGGCACTCTTGACTACTTCTCGCCCAACACCATCTCGAGGAAGCCGCGCTACTTCTTCCTCTTCTCGGACTGCCTCCTCCTCACCAAGCGCACGGGCACCCAGAAGTTCTGGCTCAAGGTCTACATTCACCTGGGTCCCAACATTCACATCATCCCCATGTGGGACAGTCCCGACTTCGAGTTCCGTCTTCTGATCGACGAGAAGGTACGCATCGATCGATCGCCTCTTGTGGCGCTAATGTCTTTTTCGATCGATTCTTCGGTCTTTTTGCGGCGCTACACGAAATTAATCACGCTACTCGATGGTGGAAACCACACCCGCAGGGCACGCTGGCCAAGAGGAAGCAGAGGAGGTTGATCCTCTACGGACAGAACAAGTCGCACAAGGAGGCCTGGCTCAGCGATCTCCTCCACTGCCTCTGGGACTCCACGGGCCGCAAGGTACGAGCAAAGAACGAAGACTCGCCCTCCTCGATTTCTTTCTCAGAACCAGCGTTGGGCAACGATCTCACTGAGGGCCATCTTTGCCGCACAGGGTCCCGACCCATCCATCAGGGACGAGAAGAAGGAGGTCAAGTCGCCTCGCGGCAAGGTACTTAATTGCAGATTCTTATTCTTATTTGTTGGTTCCCTTCGTGTAGATCGACCTGATTCAATCAACACGCTGATCATTTATTTATTTATTTATTTATTTATTTGTTATGCGGTATCTGGCCGTTGTCCTGTTGGTTGCTTTGTCTTTTTGTGGCGCAACCGCCTTGTCATTTTTGGCGTGGTTAATTAATTACCCATTTTCTTCCGAATTTCCTCACCATTTTCGTTTCTCTGTGTGTGCAGAAGGAGGACAACAGCGACAAGTGGTCGTGCTCGAACTGCACCTACCTCAACAAGCCCGGTTCCTCGCACTGCGACATGTGCGGTGGCGCCAAGTTCGGTGGCGACGTCGAGGAGTACGACTCATCCGACGACGAGGAGAAGAAGAGGCGCAGGAAGGACAAGCAGAACAAGCAGGGTGGTGGTCAGGGCGACAACTTTGCCGACACCAGCAACCCGCTTCTGCTCTTCGACCCGTTCTCGGACAACAAGGGTCCCGAGGCCAGCTTCGACCCGTCGCAGCACCGCGGCGTCGACCAGTTCGGCCAGGCCGTGCCCAAGGGCGTCATGCTCGAGGGTGACAACCCCTACGGCAGCAGCAACCCCTACGGCGCTGGTGCCGGCTACCCCTCGGGCGGCGCTCCCTACGGCTCCGGCGCCGGTGGGGCCTTCGACCCGTCCCAGGGTGCCTACGGCAGCGGTGCTTCGCCCTACGGCCTGGGAATCGAGACCGCCGGCCTCGCCGGTGGCGCCTACGCTGGCGGCGTGTCCCCCTACGCCTACGGTGGCGTTGCCGCGGGTTCCCCCTACGGCACCGACCCCAGCGGCCTCTACGATGCGGCCCGTAACGCTTCGGCCGCCCTCGGCGGCATGTTCGCCACTGCCCCCGGCAGCGGTGGTGCCGCTGGTGCCGGCCTGGCCGGCGCTGGGCTCGGTGGTGCCGGCGGCTTCGGCGCCGGCGTGGCCACCACCAGCCCGCCGCTCTCGGGCGGTTCGGCCGGCTCGTCGCCCGCCACCAGCCAGCGCGAGGACAACCTCGACGACCTGGCCCAGAAGGAGCTGCTCGAGGCCACCCGCGTGATCGAGCAGCTGGCCGCCCAGCTGGCCTCGCGCCCCAGGAAGGCCCCGCCGAGGACCGCCGAGACCGAGCACCTCGAGATCACCACCGAGGAGATCTCCGACGCCATCATGGACGGCGCTCAGGCCATCGCCCGGGCCGCCAGCGCGCTCATGCGTGCCGCCGCGCTCGCCCAGGAGGAGCGCGTCAAGCTCAACACCCACCGGTCGGCCTCCGACGGCTCGCCCTACCACGCCGACCCCGTCTGGGCCAACGGCCTCATCTCTGCCGCCCGCAACGTCGTCGCCACCACCCAGTACCTTGTCAGCACCTCGAACGCCGCCGCCAACGGCCAGGCCGGCGAGGAGACCCTCGTCGCCAGCGCGCGCGCCGTCGGTGCCGCCACCGCTCACCTCGTCGCCGCCCAGAAGGCCAAGGGTGACGTCAACAGCCAGGCCTCGAGGGAGCTCGACGACGCCGCCCGAGGCATCGCCCGCGCCACCGCCTCGCTCGTTGAGGCCGCCAAGCTCGCATCGACGCCCGCGCCCGCCCCGGCGCCGACGTCGGCCGTGCCCGACAAGTACACGATGACCGACAAGCAGATCCGAGAGATCGAGGCCCAGACCAAGCTCCTCCAGCTCGAGAAGGAGACCCAGAGGGCCAGGGAGGAGCTCCTCAAGATGAGGAAGCAGGAGTACTCGGGCTAAGCCAGCCAGCCGGACATCATCATCATCTTTTTCAACAACTACCCCTCGCGAGATCAACTACACTGACGATAATATTCGACAACATCGACCTCCTACAACTGTACCTCTTTCACGCACTGTTCATAACAGCACCCCCCCCTTCTACTTCTCTTCTGTTCTCCTGGTTTATTTATTTCAACACCCAAGAAAACCAACATTCAACCCACCTTCTACTCCTTGCTGCCCATGATGCACAACCCACATGTTGTTGCTCTTGATGATGTTTGCAGCACACAGGCAAAGAGAGTGCTTGTTGGTGACAACTGCAGTTCTGGTGGAGGAAGAAGAGGTTGTGAAGAGCTCTCTCTCTCTCTCTTACATGAGTATGCAGCAGCCCTTGCCAGATGCCCGTTCCCCGCCCTCCTCGGCGTTGTCCTTCTTCCCCTTCTTCCCCCTTGCCGCCCTCCTCATGAGCTCCCTCGCCACCGTCAGCAGCGTCTGTCTTGTCACCGCCCTCCTTGGCGTCGTCCGTGGTCGGCCTCCTGTCCTCCCCATCACTATGTAGAGCAACATATTGACGCTTTGTGAGCCACTATTCCCAGCACATCAAGGGTTCAACCACCAACATGTCGCTACTTGCACGTAGCGAGACGTTGGTGTTGTTTTGGGGAGTCTTGACCAAAGAGAGGGGGGGGGAGGTGTACGCGTTGTTATTGTTGTTGTGGGTGGCCGTGGTCTCGCTGCTGGCCGTGATCTCTTGGGACACATCCGTGTTGGTCTTCCTCAGCTTCACCTTGGCAAACTCGGGCTGGGCCTCGCCGCTCGCCGGCGGGGGCTTGTTGGAGGCCGGTCCGGGCGTCTTCTTCAGCTCCAGCCGCCCGAACTCGGTCTCCTTCACGTCGGTGGGGGCCGGCTGCGCCTTCTCGGCTGGCCGCTCCACCTTTCTAAGGGCCACCGACCCAGGCGCGGGGATCATCATGCCGAAGCCCACGGCGCCCGGGGGCAGCTTGGGTCCCTTGGGTACAGGTGCGGGCTCCTCCTCCATCTCCTCGCCCTCCTCGCCCTGCTCCACTTCTTCGTCCTCCTGTTCGCTCTCCTCCCCTGAAGTTGACATCCTCTCCTCCTCGTCGCTCATCTTTGCTGTTCGGTTTCAACTCAGAGAGAAGATGGCGCTGGTGTGTTGTTTGCCTCCTGGCCTTACCATAAAAGAACCTCAGGTGCTGTTTATGGCACATCTGAATACATCACAAATTTAAATTATATAAATAAAAAACAAATAAATATGTGTAACCACGAAGTTTTCTACGGAGTTGAAGAGCCAAGCGTGACGCCACACACCCCAATCCCAATTCATCAGATTGCCATCTGCACCCGCCCACCACAGGCACACAACATGTTGAAGGCGGCGCTGGAACAGGAAAACAGGAAGGCGACGGTAGCTTCGTCCACATCCTCCACATCTGCCTCCGCCTCGGCGCCGTCTGTGGACAATCGCGCAGCAGCGGCACCGCAGGCGAATGAAGGCGGCCACGGGGGTTCCATCCTGCAGCGAGATTTGACGAGGCGCGAGTCGTTCATTGCCAACAACGTGCACGTACTCAAGCCCACCTTCCAGATCAAAGGTCCGCCCTCGTAATCTCTTTTCTTAATCTCTTTTCTCCATCTTTAAAAACAAATCTCTCGCCATCATGCTTGCGTGTAGCGGACCATCAGAAGACACAGAATTCATGTCAAAATCTTGTGAAATGGATGCCCCCACACAGGTCTGCACACCATCATCAGGGACAAGAACACGAAGCGAGAGGATTTCATCTTCTACTCCGACCGCCTCATTCGACTCCTCATCGAAGAAGGCCTCAGGTTCCTACTCTCGCCTGCCTGGTGTAGTGCACACCCATGACCTAGTGGCTTCTACTCACATCTTCAACGCACACGCGCGCGCGACTGTTGATGCAACCACTACAGCTACCTTCCCTTCCGTGAGAAGACCGTGACGACGCCCACCGGAGCTCAGTACAAGGGAGTGGAATGGGCGGGCTCCATCTGCGGCGTCTCCATCGTGCGAGCCGGCGAGAGCATGGAGGCCGGTACGCACCACCGCACAAGAACACCACACACCGCACACACACACACACACACACACAGCACACACGCGGCAAGCAGAGTAATGGTGGTGGGTTGTGTGCGTCGGGGGCCAGGTCTGCGAGCGGTGGCCAAGTCGGTGCGAATCGGAAAGATCCTCATCCAGCGCGACGAGAAGACGGCCCAGGCCAAGGTCTGTTGGTCCCCTGCTCCTACTCCTCCTCCTCTTCGTCGCCGATTGCCGTCATCTTCAGTGGGGCGCACGACTGACCCCACGGTGTGTGTTGTTGTGTCGTGCGCTGTGTGTGTGTGTGTGTTGTGTGTGTTGACACGCGCAGTTGTTCTATGTGAAGCTGCCCGAGGACATCGCCGAGCGATACGTGCTCCTGCTCGACCCCATGCTCGCCACCGGAGGCACGTAGCACTCGTGTGTCGTGTGTCGTGTGCCGCGCGTGTCGTGTGTCGTGTCGTGCGATCGGGAGGCTGACGTGCCCGGCCGGTGGTGCTCTATAGGAAGCGCGATCAAGGCGATTGAGGCGCTGCTCCAGCACGGCGTGAAGGAGGAGAAGATCCTCTTCCTCAACCTCATCGCCGCCCCCGAGGGCATCAAGTACGCCACATTTCCGCCAACTTTACCCGCCGGTGGTCACTCACTCACGACACGACACGACACGACACGACACGACACGACACGACACGACACGCACACGACACGACGCACAGGGTGATCACGCAGGCGTTCCCGCGAGTTCACATCGTCACCACCGAGATCGACGAGAAGCTCAACGACGTCGTACGGCGCCTCTTCCTCCTTCCCGCTGCTTATTATCCCACTCCTTCTTGCTCACCGCTTTTTCTCTCACACACGCAACCCCAACAGAAGTTCATCGTGCCCGGCATTGGCGACTTTGGTACGCTGCCCCCGCACACACCGCACACACCGCACACATGGGGGACGCCACTGATCGTGTGACCTTTTGTTTGTGTCGTGTTATGTTCTGCGCACAGGCGATCGCTACTTTGGGACGGACAACTGAGGAGGTGATGGTGATGTGTCAACTGATCATCAAACCAAACAAGTATGAGTTGTCGACACCATTTTTTTCGTTGGCTTTCTGCCCGCTCGTGCCACGCTTCTCGTCCATTCCGCCGTAGGTGCTTGTCGCAGACCTCCCTCGACTCTGTCTCGAGACCTCCACAGCCCTATCCAGGCCCCTCTATGGCTTCATCCCACAACACACACACGCACCGCACGCAAAGATGTCTTACGGCGGAGGACGGAGACGTTCGACGGGCGACGCGAGCAGCACCTATCTGTTCGCTGATTCGGGTGGTCGCGGGGCCGAGGGCCTGGCGGGCCGCGAGACAGAGGGCGAGCCCACCGCGCACGAGCTGATCGCCTCCGACGACGACCCGCGGGCCTACCACCGCGCCCCCTACCGCCCCCACTCGGTCCTCACCGGCGACTTTGGCTGGGGCCGCCAGAAGAAGAAGGAGACCACCACCTCCTCGACCACTTCGACCACGACAAAGGTCGAGGCGGCGCATCCGCCCAAGCCGGGGCCGTCGGACCAGAAGAAGTGAGGCACGCACTCTACAAGATGATGTTTGTTTTGATTTTTGGAAGATGAAGACACACCAACGATAGTAGTTGTACACACATAAGTGTTGTTAGAAAGTTGTTAGTTCACTTTTCTACGCCGAGGACGCGCTGGACGAAGGTGACGGTGAGGTAGATGGTCAGCGCCCCGAACATGTGGCTCATCCCCGCCTCCTGTAACATGAATTGCGCGTGTCGCGTCGTGTCGTGTCGTGTCGTGTGCTGCACGTTACCAAGCCTGGTGTGTGTCGTGTCGTGTCGTGTCGTGTCGTGCGGAATGGAGCGTACCCAGAGGGAGAGGTGGCGTAGACACGTGGGGATGAGCTCCTGCACGCACAGGAGGGCCATGATGCCCGCCACTGCGAGAACCGTGTGAGCACGAAAGAGCGAAGAGCGAAGCACAAAAAGATCGAAGAGAGGCAGACAGAGAGGGGGAGGGGAGGGAAGTTACCGGCCGAGAGGGCAGCGGAAAGAACGAAAGGGGTGAGGTGGTGCGAGAAGGCGATGCCGAACACTAGCGCGCCCACGGGCTGGCACATGCCCGCCAATAGTGCCCACTTGATCGCCTCCCACTTGCTGTGTTGCATGACGTCAGCCTTGCGTGTCGTGTCGTGTCGTGTGCGTTCTGTGCACGCACCTTCCGGTTGAGTGGTAGATGGGCGCGGCGATGGCCATGCCCTCGGGGATGACGTGGATGATGATCGCCACCGCGAGGCTCAACCCCACATCCAGCCCTCTGCTCAACCCATACACATATTCGCCGCACATGTTGTGTCGTGTGTGCATATCAGCGGAGAACGTACGTGTCGTTTGTGTCGTGTGTGTGTGTGGTGCGTGTCGTGTGTGTCGTGTCGTGTCGTGTGCGTGGAATGGACTGCGCACCGCAGGCACGAGATGTAGACGGCGATGCCCTCCGGCAAGTTGTGGATGCACATGCCGATCGCCGTCGCCAGCCCCGCCTTCGTGGGCTACAGCACGTCACACACACACACACACAACGGCACGCACACGATCGTCATCCACCGGCCACTGGTGCTAAGCGCGGGTGCCGTGGTGTGACGTACGCCGTGGCGCGCCTCTGCGTTTTCGCACCCGGAGCGTTCCTCTCGTGACCCATGGCCGTGGCTGTGGCCGTGGCCCTCGTCATCGTCGTCGCCGTCAAAGTGCGGTTCGGGTATGTAGTACATCACCAGCGAGAATCCCACCACGCCCAACACAAACTGTGCGTCACCACACGTCAGCACTGACCGCACACGCGCGGCATGACACACATCGCACACGACACGGCACGCACGAAGAGCCAGGTGTAGGGATGGCCGATGGCGAGGGCCGAATCGGGGATGAGGTCGGCGAACGCGATGTAGAGCATCACGCCCGACGAGCCGCCCAGCATGGCCCCCAGCTTCCGCGGGTTGGGCGTGCCGGCCAGCAGCGCCAGCGAGCCGCCTGGCAGCGCGCGTGCGTGCGTGTCGTGCTTCGTGTGAGTGCCGTGCCAGGTCGCGTTGCGTCGCGTGAGGTGGGGTACCAAGAACGGTGGCGAGGCCGCCCACGAAGGTGAGGGTGAGGGCGACCACTTGCGTGCCCCACGAGAAATCCATCTATCGCTCTCTTGTAGATTTTTAAAATGTCCCAATAAAATAAATGCTTGAGATGAGAAGAGAGTGGGTTGATCGAAAATGAGCCCAAGGCTGTGGAGGTCTCGCGGCAC